TTAGTTGATAAGAAAAAAGCCCAATTACTTATTTACATAACAAGCTTGAAATACACCCTTCATATTTCTCCTTATTATAATCAATCTGACTTATAACTGAATTTATGAAGCAATATACCTCTAGTGAGTGACCCAGTATATTTTTCTGTATGTGGCCCTCGGTGAAAAAGGTTTGGACACCACAGTCATACGGCAATATTTTCTCTCAATATCGTGCAGCCATACTTTGTAGTGATGCGATACAGCGGTAGTTTTACCTTGATGTACTTGAGAAGTTTCCTCAAGCCTTGAGGCACAACAGCGAGCCAGGACACACCGCAGATAGGCCAGGACGGGTCCAAAACTTCTCCTGCGTCTCGGTCGCTCTTCATACACAGCTTCTCTCCACAACCTCCTCCCTGATTCACTTTACGAGACGTGTAGTAATTCAGCGCAAAGAAGTCTGCTGTGCCCAAAATGGCTGGCTCATCCTTAGAAAAACTGGGCAGTCTCGAGCTGCAGCCCGACTTCTCACTCTGAGCGTCGATGGCTGATCTCATTACTTCTGGATAATCTCCTGTTACAAACACAGGCCAGGCAAACCACCCGAGTGTGAAGGCGAGGAGGCGTTCAGTGGCAGCGATATCCTCGGTGCATCCTGCGTTCAGAGGCTCCAGCCAGTCGCTGTTGATGGCCAGAGACACGGCGCCCTCCTGCTGCGCCCTGTACAGAGAGTCGTAGCTGTGCCAGGCCATGGCGTGGGCTCGCAGCATGTTGTGGCCCACCAGGTAGGCGGCAGTCCCCTGGCTCCTTTAACCCCGGGGCGTGGATCCCGTCCTCGTGGCCCAGTTTGGCACACACGTAGGGCTCGTTGATGGTGATCCAAAGTTTGACTCGGTCGCCAAATGTGTGGAAGCAGAACTTAGCGTAGCTGTCGAACAGGGTCGCGGTACCTGCTGATTTCCAGCCGCCCTGATCTTGCAGAGCCTGAGGCAGGTCGAAGTGGTAAAGTGTGACCATGGGGGATACATTGCAGGCCAGCAAATCATCAATCACCTTGTTGTAGTACTCCACCCCTGTTGGACACACAGGAAAAACTCCCTGTTTCAATGCTTTTTGTACATCTGGAGTGGAAACCATGACATTTTGTAAACATATGATTCAAAAGGACATTCAGATTTGGTTCCTCTTCACATGCAGGCTTGGTAGAATATACCCAATAAGAGTATCTCAACCTACGATTACCTTTGCAATTCTTCTCAGAGCAGATTGGGTTATTTTAGGGAGCCTTAAAGGAACAGGCGCTAAAACTGAGCGTTTCAGACTGCGGTTGCATATAGGTATATATTACGAGGAAAACTAACATGTTTCTTTAACATTAAAGCATATACACATGTTCTAGTAGAAACCCAAAAGAGAATTTGAAACTGAAAATTAGCAATATATGTCTCCTTTAAATCAGTCATCAAAACGTTGGTATCCCAGTATACATCTGGGAGAGAGTACCTTAAAGTGTATAGAGAAAACACAAAACTTGCTAAAGTCAGTTTTAAAACTCGACCAGACCAACTCTTGCAATATTGCAATGTCATAATAATGCAAAATGTTCAATGTCAATAACAATGTTGAAATTGAGAAGTTTGGACTATTATATCAAAGCCTAAAACACATTTCTGTCATAACATAGAGAGGAAAAGACCCTACCCTAGTGATGAGGTAACGCAGCACTGAAACCCTCAAATAAGCTGGTTCCTTTGTGCTGTTTTGAATAGAAATATGGCATGGGTCTAATGGGGATATGGAAATACCTTTTTGATTGACGTGTCGTGTGTTCCCGTCAGGCAGGAGGCGGGCCCAGGAGAGAGACAGACGGTAATGTGTCAGTCCGAGCGTCTGGATGCACTTCAGGTCCTCGTCCCACAGCTCGTAGCTCCTGCATGCCTCATCTCCATTCTGCTCCCCAAACACTCTGCCCCCCTCGTGAGTAAACGTGTCCCAGATACTCGCCCCCTTACCGTCTGCCTGCCAGCCACCTCCATGCACACAGAAATTCATTTTCAAAACAGTTTGTCTGATATTGACAAAAATGAAATCCCATAAATGTTTCTGTTGGGACTTCAACTGTGTGTGTCTGTGGGTTTCACTGGCTTGTCTATATAAGTATTCATTATTTAAATGTCAACGTAATGTTCCTTTTGTTACAGTCATCATGGTCTGTAGATGTCAGTTAGTGTGTTTACATTATTGTATGTGTTTCAAGTTTATCCATTGATTCTATACAGTATGCGTTGGTCAGACATCACCATGGTGAAGGTGTGTCACAATTGAACTTCACATGACAATTTAAAATACAATATGCATACAACCTCAGAACAATGGACCTTGCTTTGTGTGATGTGTGGAAACAATAATGTATTAACCCTTGTAACCCTTAACACCTCGGACGTTACAGTGTTCCTATTTTTGTTACTCAGCCAGTGTTCGTGGGTCTGGTGGACCCGCTACCTTTTTGGGCTTCAATTCAACACAATCAAACTATTTTATGTTAAAATACTCAACAGATGTTTACTTAATCTCAATTACAAACAATATAAACAGCATATATGGTTAATATTTGCCCTTAGATCACATTTTTGAATGAAAGTGCTACTCGTTTTTTTGCCCACTGACCGGCTGGTCCTGTGGCTCGTCTTTTTTTTGTAACTAGCTGATGCTCAATCTCATCCTCTCCGGATACAGTGGGTGGTCATTGAAAATGTGTTCTGATATATGTTCACAGAAAATGAGCCAAGGCCATTGAGTGTGGGTGTGAACAAATAATTCATCATATCATTTTTCTTTAGCTAAATAATGAAAACGGGTCCCACATACCCGAATACCATACAAGGGTTAAGTTAGTTATTATCTGCAGGTCACCCTTGAAAAAGAGATCTTTTGATCTCAAGGGGCTTTCACCTGGTTAAATAAAGGCTACAAACAATTATCATAATGTTCAGTTTGTGGTAACTGTTAAAATCCTTGTTTGATATTGGATTGTAATTTGTTAGTAAAGTTGTTCTTGACTTATTGAATGTGATTTTGCATCACTAATTGTCCAGAAATCATTTGATAAAGTTTATTTTAAAAAATAAAAAAGTTCTGGTCTCAACGACTATTTGAACTCTTTAAGTCTAGTATTCATTTTATTAAACTGCACAAGTTAGTCATAATAATAGCTTCACGAATCTCACGGTAGTGTTTACATACCTTCAATTTGATACGCAGCAGTTCCCGCTCCCCACGCAAAGTCTCGTGGGAACATGTTCCATCAGCGTAAGGACACTGAATCAAAGCAGGTCTAATGTATTTCACTGCGTTTTATTGAATGTATATGAATGTCGAAGATATCTTACTTTTAAACCGGTCGTTTTCGCGCAGTATGTGTCAACGCTGCCGACCAGGAAGCACTCCGCTTTGTGACGTTCATGGAGCGTGGGAATTATCATGTACTTGATTTACACGTCAAGGTAAACCAAACACACACAAATACTTTGTAGTTCTTTCTCTTTGATTTATTTTTTGGACTACTTGATTAAGGTTGTTAAAGAATCAGTCAATAGTTACTGTGTTGAGTATTTATATTTATTATGTTTCATTACTGCGGGGTGTACCAACTCGGAGGAAAACTTGAACGCAGCACCTGAGGCTTGTTTTGCATGCATGATGAGATGTGCATGAAAAAAGCTACTGCAAAGTACAGTTAAAAAACAATATATTATTTTTTGTGTATCAATTATTATTATATAATTATATAATGTACAAATTAGCTACATAGAAACAGAATATAAAATAACATATAACATATTTGTATTAAGATTTTACTAGAGTCCACATTTATTCATGTCCATTATGTGAAGTGCAGTGATAAGTGTAAAAGTATGTTTAGGATTCATGACAGCCGTTGATGGGGTGTGATGATGTGTCAGATTCAGAGTCAGTCAGATGGAAATAATGTATTAGTTTTAAATGATTGAGTAGGATCCACTGCATAACAACATGGTGACGTCTTCTATGCAGACATAAAAAGGTTAGAGGTTGCTCAAAGGTTGTCTTCCTGAAAACAAATAGACTAGGAGGTGAAAGCATAATGGCCTAAAGGCATATGTTCTCTGTCCTGTGATCACTTCAATGCTATCCTCTGGTCCAGTTTTCTATAGAGTGAAGGGACCCACTCGACCTGATCACAACAAATAAAATGGATGTTAGCCAAAGGGCAAACAAATCCTCGCCTGCTAAATATCCTCCTCATATAACTACACAAACACACAATTGGATTTTTGTTATTTAATCTTTCACTGCTATTGTGTGTACAGCAAACAAGACTGCACTTGTTCAGAGGCAAACACAGGAGAAGACCAAGGGAAGTATTCAGATACATTACTTAGTTGAATATAGCTAAACAACAGTGTTTAAGTAGTCAATGTTATCCAAGTATACAGAAGTAATGATCTTAAACTAAATATATTGTATGAAAAAAGTATTTTGTGACATTTGTATTCATATTCATATAAGCAGCATTATACTGTCTCTAATGGTTGTTTACCTTATTTGAAGTATGGTATGAGCATTGAAATATAGGCTTTATTTCTAAAAAAATAATTATCATAGTTGATTTTGTATAATAAATCTTATGTGAGTACTCCTGCAAAGTGAATATAATAGTGCAGGAATGCTGTCGACTTTATTGGCATCCAAGTAAAGCAACGTGTACTCGAAGAGGTTATTAATGACTGTAAAATAGATGTATGCCAGGGGATATATGGAATATATTATATAATGTTCATCCAAAGTGAAGAAGACGCAGCATAAAATGAAATTATTTAAGTTAAGTATTGCTACCTTTAAAAATGTATTACTAAAGTAATTGAATAGGCCTACTCCCCACTGAAGTAGCAGTAACGGTACAACCTGAAATGCCCCTACGGAGAGCTTTATTTTGAAAAGCTGACCGGATATGGTTTTATTTCAGAGGGACTTGACAATGGTGGAGCCCGGGGCAGAGCCACTGAAGAGGAGGACTATCGAGCTGTGAATACTTTCCAAAGACGCTGTGGAGTTAAAAAACAACACAACAACTGAGGATATTCTTCTTTAAAGCGACGTAAAGCTATTTTTACTTTGTTTTTTCCCGCTTTTGCTGCACATTTTAAGTTGTTTTTGTGTTTTTTTTCGTTCCTGAGTAATTTCCTGTGGGAAAAGAAGAGAGAGGGAAAGTGTATCGCTTTTGTTTGGATTTATGTAACGTAAAAAAAAAACTTGGAAGTTAAAGTGTGGGTTTAAGAGAAGTCTGGCTTTGTTTCCTGACGTTAGTGCGGATAACCTGGGAGTACTCCTGCCGCCCTTCCGTGGAAAAGACACCCGGACCCACGCTATGTGCAACAAAGAAACCCTCTCAACTACTGCACAAGTTATTTAGTAACCAGCGAGCACACTCCGCTTAAAATACACGGATTCACACAGTTCCAGGAAATGGGAATAACACCGGGATGGAAGGGGAATTATAAATGAGTCTTGTGGAAAAACAAAGAAGGACACAGAGAGAGAAATGGAGGAGGAAGGCTGTCTGGAGCCAAACAAGATACTCTCTGTGTTATCTTAACAAAGCTCAGCTCCGCGTTTAGCAGCGAAACATTTCCTGTGCCCATGCTGCGGTGGTTCTCTGTGTGAACATGAAGGTGGATGTATTGAGGTTGTTTGTGATTTTACTGCTCGGTGGAGGCTGTGGAGGTTCGGCGGTATCATCTGATTGCAAATCATATGAAGAGCGCTCCAAAAGCGGGGGGAAGAGCCTGCCGTCCGACCGGAAAGTGGTGTGCAGCAACATGGAGCTCCATCAGGTGCTCCCCCCGGACTCCTTCCCCAACAGGACCGTCACCCTGTGAGTTTGCATCCATTTCACACAGTTAAAACACATTATTACTGCAAGGTTTATTACTAAGGTAAAACAGTCAGAATCAGGTTTATGACCAGGTAGGTTTTTGGAGGTATGAGGTTGCAAAAAAGTACCAAACATATATTTATTAGAACTATTTTAAAGGTATTTATGTCCTTGTTGTATTCTTCTTTTCTCTATATATTTTATACATTTTCAAAAGAACAGATCTGTGTTGCTATCCTTCTCTTTTGTGTGTTAAAATTGAGAAATAAATCAACACTAAACCATATTTAACTCCAAAAAGAGACAGGAGAAATGCATTCACAGAAAAGTAACTAAATCACTCACACTAACCAAATAATCAGGCAAAGTCACCACCATCATCTTGTGTTTACTTGTAATGTGCATGAAGAAAGCATTACAAAAATCAGTAATCTAAGACCAAAACAACTTATTAGTCGACAGAAAATACATGAAATCATAATACCTATGATGTAGGTTGGGCTATGAGTGAGTCAAAAACAGACAAGATTCAAAGATGTTAATGTCATAGTCACAAAAGTCCATGTTAAATGTTGTTGCTGGCCATGAAAATGTGAATCCCTTGTAGTGAGACTGGCTGTTAGGTGTTCCCCAAATATCGTGTCTTCAAACAAGTTCATTTGGTGTCACTACAGGAATTTGCACATGTATTTGTGATTTCTACTAAAACTACAGAGTGGTCTTATTAGCTACATATATGTATAACTAACTTCCTTATCATCTATCTCTTTAGTTAAAGTAAGGAAAACATGATTAATATGGCTTGACACATACACTCATTTGTGTCTGCTCCTTGTCAGCCATAGATCATTCTCTCACAGCTGCTGCATACTGTGATGGTGTAAATGTAAACCCTATGTAACAGTAACCGCCTGTCTTCCTGTACTGATTCTCTCACAGGCTGGAAGATATTTAGTGCTCACACAAGACACTTATGTTCTACCTCCTAGGCATTTTAATAGAGACCAGAGCTCATTAGCTTTTGAGTTAATCCTTTCGTTTTTTTCCACTTGGCTGAAATACTCACTCTCGGCTGGGGTTAGATTTAGACTGTAGCACTTTGTTGACAGCACACCTCAGTATCATGGTGTTTTAACGATGGTTGAGCTGCCAACGCATGCACAAATGCTGCTTTCAGCCCCTCAAAATGGAGTTTTCCTGCTTTTTATATCACATTTAAAAACATTATTTGCACTTGGAGCAACTGGAATGGGCCTTTTGTGGGATTTTCTGACCAAACTGAAGAAGAATAACAGAATAACTGCCCTCTACAAACCAACCAAAAAAAGACACAAATTCAAAGCTGTGCTTTGTGGTGGTGAGCCATGGGAAATCTGAGAATACCAGGGCAGGGTGCAAGAGTAGAAAAGCAAATAATAGACTCCGGGGAAGGAAAGGGAGAGGATTGGCTGCTAAGTTAAGTGAGCTTGCATGTTTTCACCCGTTTACCACAAACCACATGTGTATTACTTTGAAGCACTTTTCAGAGCAACAGGTTCAAATCTGCTTTCCAGACAAAATGGTTTTCAGTATTCAATACAATCGGAGAGACTTGCTTAAGTTGGATAACCCACAAGATAAATATTGTTTCTTGTCATGATTACACCATTGTGGCATTGAAACCCAGACACGTTGTTTTGCAGGAATACCATGTATCTGATATGGAGTCTCAGCAGGGACATTATTAAACTTTAAGGGTTACATTTACAGTCATCTTATCAGTAACTGGAGCCAACATAAATCCACATTAGCCAGTGGGGTGGAGCTGAACAGCTGGCAGCCACTCAACTAAGTGTTTAGACCTGTCAGTAAAACAGACTTTATATCTCGCTTTAGGACTAATGTTCCCTGTAAAACAAATTCTCTCTCTGACTTCAGTATACTCAGTCTTTGCTTTTATAAAGAAGAGTATTAATCAGCCATTAGGATTTTATTTCATAGCTCGTTCCTGTTGTAATGCCTCTCTATTCAGGAGCTGACTGAAATCTGAGCTTTGGCTGTTTCCCACCAACACATGCAACACTCTTCACACTGTTATAAAGAGATCTTTGAAGGTCTGGCTCAAGCAAGTCTCTTTAAAATTATAACCTTACAATACTTAAATAAATGGGACCATTAGCTGCCTTGACTGTAAGAACTTTCTTCCACTGAATTGGCTAAAATATGAAAAAAGGGATCTAATTGTTGGTAGCTCTTACATTTGATTAAATTGCCATCACCTTCCTCTTGGCAGTCTGGAATAACTTTAGTATGTCCTTTTTAGATATTGATAGAGTCTGAAATATTCTGATCTCTTTTAGCAGTGACGTGCTTTAACATCATTTAGTTGTGACCGTGATGGATACGAGGTTCCTCATGATTTAGCATCGAGCTAAAGCGCTGTGATGTGGCCTCCAAAGAGCAAGAAAGATGTAATTAGAGAGCCCGGACAGAAAGCAACTTCCAGGAATTCCTTTCTGTCTTTTCATTTAAACTTCTGGACATTTGTTTTCATTAATTGTAGGAAAACAGAACTGTCTTCCTCACAAATCCCTGTAGGCACGAGCAACAATGAAACGGCTTGTTATGTTGACTGCACAGTTTTTGGGTGGTAATTTATGACCTTTAAGATTGTCCCTCTCAGTAGGTGTGTTGGTCCTTTTTTACAACCCTCCCCACACACACACACACACACACACACACACACACACACACACACACACACACACACTGTCTTTTGATGGAGTTGACCCTGGCTGATGCACAGCTGGTCTGAACTGGAATGATCTGAAGGTCTCAGCTGCTGTCAGAGACTTTTCTCAAGTTTGAAAATGACAGACCATTCCTTCTACTTGTTAAGCCTAAGCAGACCTCACCGTTTAGTTTGGCTCACTTAGTGTTAACGCATGAAATCCTCGCTGTGAATTCACTAAATCCAGTTTTCTTCTGGTCTTGTCTTCTCGACTGGTCTAATTTTAAACTCAGAGAAATGTGTCGCTACGAACATCCCTACAACAGACTGCTCAAATGTGTTTGCTTGGAGTTGTAATTCATATTTGTACTTCTACTACTCTACAAATACTACTTCTGAACTTTACTCGTCCTCAGTTTAGGCATCCTGGTATTTCCCTAATGTGTTGACTGGTAGCAGTATTAGGGCTGCACGATTTTGGGAAATAATCTAATTGCGATTTTTCTGACAGATATTGCGATTCGATGTGCGATTTTGATTTTAAGCGACCCAACGGAAGTTTATTGTAAAATGCGGCCATATCTCCGGCTAGGAAGGTCGCATCAACGTGCTCCCGTCTCTAGCTCCCCCGCAGCCCGAGCTACGAGTGAAAGAACTAAACTTACATGAAACTTCCGTTGGGTTGCTTTAAAGTCAAGCTTCAGTTTAAGGTTCACCCTGTAATAGAAACATGTGATGGAGCATCACTAACCTGACCCAGATGGTTTGTTTCCCCAAACAATCTAAAGCTCCATTGGAAGCCATTTGGAAAGGGCAGGCACTTTCAAAAATCACCTTCTATCATGGGCCACTTCTGATTGGTTAACAATGGCTGGTACATGTGGAGCACAGCACTTCTGATTGGTGTGGATGCAGGGTCGGCTCTAGAACAAATCAAATGGGGGGGCAATCATTTACCAAGGGGGGGCACATACTGCCGTCAACAACCAACACACAAACACCAACGCAACTTCAATTTAAAAAAAACATGCTGTAAAGTCTATTGTCTTTCACACACATTGCAGGGTGTGAAAGCGCACCTATGACCTGTGCATACATGCACGGTTGTGGCACGACCACCAAAACAGAAACATATGGACATAGGCCACCATATGAAAAGTGTTTAGTATTTAGTATCCTATCCATGTGAACATGTTTTAGGTGGGGGTGGACCTCACCTCCTCTAGGGGGGTCCGGGGGCATGCTCCCCCGGGAAGATTATTTTTAAAATATTGAAGTTAAATGCATCAATCTGGTGCACTTTGAGAGCAACATGAAGATCTATGGATACATCTCTCAACATCCATATGAAACAGAACTGTACACAGATTTACTTTTTCTTTATGGATATTTTACTAATCATTCCCCTTTCAACTGTATTCTTGTGTTACTGTCCTATAGTATTTCATACCCGTTTTTCATTTATTCTCTTATTCTTTAATGACTATAATGATCATATCAAGGTAGCCTATTCCTCGCAAATACTTGTTTACATAAATGGTGACCAAACCGTTTGAGACCCACTGAGATAACTTACACTAAAGTGAACTATCTAAACACTGAGAGTCCTTACCTCACTGAGCTGACGTTATAAGATCCTCTCAGTCTGACAGGAGAGGACTCTCCTCCACCTTGGTGTAGAAACAGCTCTTTATATCCGTTAGCATAGCTAGCTAACCAGATGCTAACAACAATATTCCACGTTACCGCTCGCGCACTGACAAAATGCGCTCGTGCCACACACAGAGAGCCGAGCTTGAATGAAACACAGAGACCCATGTACTTGTACTGTACTGTATATCATATTATTTTCGATGGCTTTACTGTATAATCAGTGTAACAGATGAACAGATCGCCACTGGGCTTTCATCTAAACACACAGCCACGTAATGATAACAAAACAAAAGTCGGGGTCATTGGTCAAGCAACACACCAATCAGAGAGCAGCAGTGAGCACACCTCAGGCTGTGTTTCATATAAAGAATAAATAAAGAATACAAATGTGTATTCTTTATTTCTGATGTATTTCACACAAAAAACTTTTGGTGGAAACGTTTTAACTTATATGATTAAAAAAAAAAAACGGCAAAGTGGCAATAAGGCTTGCCCACCCTGCGTTGGGGGGGCACAGTGACTCATTTGGGGGGGCATGGCCCGCGAATGACCCCCCATGACGCCGACCCTGTGTGGATGACTGACACACAATCTGTTATTTAACAATCTGTTCCAGAGTTCCCGTTAGAATATGTTTTCGCCGGTCAACATGTCCGTTAAAGTTGAAATCTTCCGGACAAAATTTGAAAAGTGCCGGTCAAAGGTCTTCTTTGTTATTTATTGAGCTTTAAAACAAATTGATATGATTCGATATTAAACAAACTAATTATAGTAGATTAACTACATTATTCAAAAGTGAACAGTAACTTACAATAACACGGGAATAATAAACGGAGCGCTCTCCCCCTCTCCTGACAGCCCGTCAGTATCATGCAGCTGGCGGATCCAGAGTGACCCGACAGTGAAACTAAACATATAACTAGGTAGTTTGAGTTTGAGAGGTAATTAAAATAGCTACGTGTGATATTCTAACCTGAAGTGTGTGTTTTGTTCCGCTCACCGCTGCATGTGATCATCCAGAGCTGCGTGTCGACTCGTCAGCAGCAGCTGATCTCTCTCTCCAGTCAGATTAGACTTCACTCGCGTTTATGTCCATATCGATCAGATCCAGCTAGTTCTAGCTAATGATAGGACTACCTGCTTATTAAAAGACACCTAAACAATAAGTGTCGCTATGCAACCGGGTGAGGCCACAAAGTATAGCGCAGCATTATGCATTTGTTTACATGCTCACCGGAACCCCGAGGCATTACCCACAGATCAACGCACAATCAACCCATACAGGACATCTCTTTCTCCACATTAAGTGTTAGACATTAGAGTTGACTATTCTTGTCTGTCACATAAGTGGCGCAAGTTGCGCAACTGATGCGGTATTGCGCTAAGGGGAAATTATTTTGACCGGACACTTTAACCGGAGAGATTTAGATTTGCCGGTCTTCAGCATATTTTACCGGTCATAGTCCGGTAATTACCGGCTAACGGGAACTCTGATCTGTACGTGAGCACAGTTAAGTAGCTATGGTTTTACCACACGTGAATGATTGCTGGTACAACTTATCCCTTGGATAGATCACATGTAGATATTCCGTACAGCTCTGCTCTGAATTCTTCTCTGTAGAGGGAAATGAGTGATGCATTCCCCACATTTGTGCTCTCCCAATGAAACCGCATGCCAACGTAATCTGAGAGGAAATGACACAAATGTGTTTACAGCTGGCCTGTCCTCTCATGTTAGTGTGCAGGCCTCGGCTAAAATACGAGGGCTTGAATTTAACCTTTGCCTCACATGGAGGTATAAATCAGGAGCCGTCTATATGGGTGTGTACATGAGCGTTTATTTCTGTTTATCTGATTTAAGTTTCAGCCTACACACATGCGGTGCAGACAGGAACTGACTATATTTAAGCTTTCTGCACTCACCCAGCTCATATGTCTTTACAGGTCTTGTTTAGTGTAAACCTTTTCACATGAGCACCTGGGTTGGCTTCTACAGAGCAGCACGGGATTATTGTCAGGAAGAAAGCAGGGATTTCCTCTCTTGTGCAGGGAAAAGCGTGCACAATGTGATGACACTTTGGAGTGAAGTATACGGTCCTGTTTCTCAGCCAACTGGCATTTAGGGTTACATGTTCCCACCTGGTTTCCTTTTGGATTTCAGATCTTAAGACGCAACGGTTAGGAATGCATGATCATTCCTTTCGTCAATCATCTCCTCCTGCGGTTGTTTACTTCACCATTAAAAGCCAGTACATCATTCGGGGAGTCCTCGGTGCTTTGCTCGACGTCAGCGGTCTAACCGTTGTTTTAGTTTTTTGCATTGCCCCAAAGAAATGTTCCTGTATTTTCGTAGTAGTGGCCGCACATTTAGTCCACAGCCTTACATTTGGCAGATTTGTGGAGATTTGACTTGCCAGGTCGAGTCAAGACTCATGTAATCCCGGACAAACATTTGAGTTTAGTGCGTAGACATGAGGTAAGGCTGTGTAATGCCTCCTCGCCTGACCGTGTTAAGTCTGCTTTTATCCTGCTGTTTGCATGGTGGATCATTGTTCTATTCAGCCAGAGTGTGCTCTATTGGCTCGGTTGAATGTTGAAAGAGGATATTGCAAAGCCTACAGGAATGAAGGGGCAATAACAGCTTGTATGACAAGTTACCTTTTTTACCTTGCAAATGAATCTCCTTTAAAGAAGTTAATATTAGCTTTTTTACATGGAATACAAACATCCACTACAGAGTTGCTACCCGTTGGTGCACATTCTCAAACTAAATCCAAATACCGCAGCAACATCTTTGGATTATTAATGGAACAAGAAAGTGTTGGATAACCACAGGAATGACTTTGGCGAGTTGCAGCGCCTCAGCCAGTGGACTCTTTTTCCACCTGAACTGAGGCCCACTTTTCCATCCACCACATTCAGAGGAGGTCACTCTCGAAAGGGTTTTATGAGCTCAATCTGAAACTTATTTGAAAACCTGTTGAAGGGTTACAGCTCTCCGCTTGGGAGTTCTTTGTCTAAAAGCCTCCCTAAGCATAAAGAACGTGTTGAGAGAGCACCAGTTGGATTTGTCTCTAGTGCTGTGCGCCTGTGAGGGGTTGGTGTTATGGCTGGCCATTTTTCCTCCTACTTAGTGTTTTTTATGAAGTGTAAAAGAAACATATTTACTCATTGGAAGGAAAGATGAGATTTAGGCCAAAGGCTTTAATATGTCTCTATTACTCAGAGTAAATATTTGGGTTTTTGGACACAGCTTTACAATAAATGTCGTTGGGATTTATAGCTCCTGTATCAGGAGACAGGATGTGAGGTTTGGTAGGATCCCCTTGCAGCTTGTTCCTGGCCTGTGCTTTAGCAGGTCTTATCTATGCATCAAGATAAGAGACTCCCCTCCTCCAGGGTTCGAGGCCTAGCCTGAAGAAATTCCTTTGACAGTTCTTCAGTCTGAGACTTCAGGCCGACGTCCAGAGACAGTGTAAGGAAGCAGACGGCTGGATACACGTCCTGAGGGCGAGGTAGAGTTGTTACATGACCGCAATCTATACCATTTTGACACTTTGTTATGTATATTGCTTGTATAGTCGGCTGCAATATTTCTTTCTGTGAAGAAACTCCATTTTGCATGCCAAGCAACTTATTGAGGTCACACTCCTGTCATGAGGAAGAGGGAGGGGGAGAAGGTGATTGAAGGAGAGCTCATGACTCTCTGGAGAACTTTCTGTCAAAGCTATATTTTGACGACCTGTAGAGTCACAAGGCTTGAAATGTGTATTTATGCAGCCAGACTCCCATCCATTCCCAAGACATGTTGTTTAAAGATCATAATGAGTTCTGTAAACCTAATTATATAACTTTCCATGAGGATAAAAAGTCTGTGTGTGCTGTTTGTAACCTCCTGTAACGTACAGTCACTTTAAGTAAAGGCTTATTTCTGTCAAATGTCTCGATGAATTCCTATCACCAAGTTGTTATAATGTAGCTCATTTCTTGCCCTCTCTGTACCTCTGAAAATGGGCTTATGGTGTCGTATAAAAAGAGGCATTGTCAGGCCCAAGCTAAAGATTACAGATATGATGCAAAGGGGGTTATCTGCCTCAGGTCATTTCTGTTTTGCGGCACTTGGAAGTGGCTTCATCTCGTTCAGATCCTTAAACTATAGGTTTGCAATGTAATTATACTGCAGTATAATTTCATCGTTACGTTTTCTGAGCATATGCTATGTTAAGCTATGTTAATTTGTCTCGTACATCAGTTGCCAACACTCATTATAAGCTTCCTTAAACTGCACTTTATGTTGTGTGAGATGTTTCCGTGCTCTCCCTATATTATGTGGATTGAGTGCCACATTCCTTATTTTTCACACAGGTAAAAGCATCCCATTGGTATGCTAACTATTCTTCAATATAAATGAGACTTCTGTAACCTTCATCTTGGGAGGCCCAGCGTCTCTGCCTATATCACAGATCATGTGTACACAGGCAGTGATAGAATTTGCAGCCCTGTACATCGCCCGTGTTTTTAACATCTGCCATTTCAGCATTGAGGAAGCCTGCAGAGCACCGGGCGGGGAAACACAGGCACCGTTTGTGTGCACACTCTCTCAGAGGGGCAGCGAGCCAAGCTGCAAATCTCCAATGAGTCTGTGCTGTCCAACCCTATCATAAAACAACCCCTCAACACCCCGTAATGACTCCAATATGGCCCCGGGTTGTGGGTGCAGCCAGCATGTATGTCACCTACCACATCCCGAGTCCCAGCTGGCCAGAAACATACGCTAACCACAAGTCGCTGCTCTGGGTTTCTGCAGGGACGTAACAGGGCTATTGATTCTCCAAATCCTCTGGGAGTAGTTTGTGGAGAAAGCCGGAAACTCTCGGGAAACTCGGGCACAGAAAGTGGAGCTTTTACTTTGCAGCTTGGTATGCAGCAAATCAGTTTGTGCTGAATAAAGCGGATCATAAAATCTAGGTTTATTACCCAGGAAGAAAGCAATCAAGAATTCACACTTGTACTTGATGTGATAGCGATTGAAAACAATGACTGATTTTGTTCTATAACAGGATGTGTACTTGTTGCATGTTTTGAAGGGGTGTGGAATATTACCTCAGGTTGCCTCTTATTTTGCAAGTAACAGGCGGATACACCAATTACCGCACAGTTCAAATGTTTTGAATAATAATACAGTGTTATTTTGCAAACAGAAATGACACCTAAGCCTTTATTCATCTGGAATCGCTGTGGAAAGTTGAAATCAATATGTCCTTGAAAGAAATGACATGCCTGTGTTTGGGGGGGGGTCAAATATATTGCACAAAAGACAACAGAAATGACGTAATACCTTGAGAACTTCATTCACATGTATTATTTGATCTTCTTTGAGTTTGAACATATTTTCCTCTCCACAGAATTCTGAACAACAACAAGATTCAAGAACTCCGAAATGGATCCTTCTTTGGATTGTCTACATTGGAGAAATTGTAAGTAAAACCATAAATGTATTGTTTTCCAGTTTCAGCTTTTGACATTGTTGACTTAGGATTTAGTCAAATAATAGCCGTAGCTTTAATAAGTGATGTTTTCCATCGCTCACAGCAGATGTTAAGGTTGAAGTCAAGCTCGGGCTTGTGGAGTTTATAAAACACACAGTGGCCTCATGCCAGTGGAACATGCAGGTCGTAGAGAATGAGAAGGCAGCCGCACTTAGCCTCGGTGAAGACTATCGGCGTATGGAGGAAGATTGGAGATGGAACTAGAAAAGGCTAATTATAGGAGCAGCCCCGAGTGATGGCTGTTGTCTGCCTGGTGAAACACTATCAACACACAGCTGCTGGTTATTCTGGGGCCACTTGCTAATAGAGGAGCAACATATAGGACACCCTAAGATACATGTATACTAGTCTGCTAACACAGGGTGTAAAGTATCAGGGCCTCATTACAGAATAAATATCCTTGCTACTTCTAAACTCAAGTTCCCAAAAGGACTGTCTTCCTATTACAGATGCTATTTCTAAAATCATGGTTGTGTCCTATTCTGTGTCAGACTCCCTATCTTAAATGTATCCTGAGTATGACTGTAAATTAGATTTGGCACTCGTTCTGTCTTTCTTGCATCTCTGTTTAAAATGTACAAATGGGCAACTTGAGATGAGCAAGCCATGATCAGAATACGTTATTTATTCTCAGGCGTGAAAATAAGGTTTCATGACATTTTAAAATTGAACTAAAAAGATAAAATGTCAAATGTAAGAAATGTATATAAACATACAATATTAGTAGATTAGTAGTAGTAGTAAGATTTGCAATTAAAAATGGCAACAAAAATAAAATGGATACCAATTTCTACATTATCTACAGCTCTCGCCTAGCTAGCTAGCTAGCTTGCTAACATGGATGAAAACATGTCCTGTACTAAGATACCATTTTTTTTTGTAAACTGCAGTTAGGAGACATGTTTCTGTTATACCAAATTCCCAAGTGTCATTCCAAACATGAGATAAGACAACACTTCAGACTTCCAGCCCCCTGTAATATATCTGGAAGGAAAACCTTTTATTTTTCTAGATAAAGACTTTTATTAGCATAGTCCTTTCTGTCCCTTGAACAGCGGAAAGCTGTCCTCCATGTCATGTGACCCTGTTTTTCGGAGATAGGAATGTCATTACTGGTGTTTCCTTCCTACAGAGATCTCATGAAAATGGCTGTGGGCCTGCACATATGGGCTGTGTGTGATTTATCACTGTGGAATGGCTTCATGCAGATAAAATAACCAGACCATTAATGGCCCTGCTTTTACCCAAGGCTACACTAACACATGACTGCATTGATATGGAATTCTAAGAGCATGTTCCCCCCTGTCCTACTCTCTATGGTTGAAAAGACCTGAACTATACAAGGGTATGAGATGATATCGGCCACATTTAGCTTTGCTGTATCATTTCAGAAAAAAAGATTTAGGTTGAAATATGCTCCCAATCATCGTTTTGCAAATGTAGTTAATCACCGATTCATTTTCTTCTTTACATAACATCCTGTTTTTCGGGACCAAACTCTTTTTATATGGTGGTCTTCATTTCATTTCATTTGAATGACTCCTGTTTAATAATCCATCCATCTGCATAGCTTGTTTATATATTTGCTGCAGACAATCCCCCACTGAATCCAATGTTTCTAGAGCTCAGACAGACTAGATGAACTGTGTGTTCGTGTCAGGAAACAACCCTGCTTTGATCCCTCTCCCCTCAGTAAGCCCTTCAGGCACCTATGTGTGTTCTTTCTGTGAATGACCAGTGGATTTGGTTGTAAACTCGGCCGTTGCATCATTCCACAGACAAGTTTACCTCCAAAGAGCAGCTTCCTTTGTGTCAGAGACCCCGCCCTCAGCCAATGAGGCGAGATCACGTGATGGCTGTCCGGCTTTTGTCATTGTAATGAAGCCAAGCCGAGGCCAGAGGTGCCGGCAGTACGAATCCCAAACACACTGAATCCAGAAGCTTCTCCCTCCCTCCTCTCCATCTTGCCTCCCACCCCTTCTTCCTCCAGCTTTCCCCCCCCTTCTTATTCCACAAAGAAACTCTCCCTCATTTGGCCCTCCTGTATGCAGCCGGCTTTGAGTCCAGAGAGGGGAGAGAATTGATTTTGCCTCTCCGGCACTCTGCGTGAAATTGCAAAGTAACTGTGGAGACCGCTGTGTTTTGTCGGGGGCCAAAAGGTGCCCCTGCTTGGAAATAAGCCACACAGAATCCCCATTATTACTCTGCTCATAGAAATAGCAGCCAGGCTAGGCGACCGTCACATGCTAATTCCCCTCTAAATCCGCTGCTGTGGAGGAATGCTCATTGTGGAAAAGCGAGCAGGAGAACGGCTCCAGTGTGCCCTGTTTCCTGAAGAGTTGTTTATTCATGACTTGTGGAAGGAAGTATGGTAGCAAGTTGCGCATAAATATAAAGATAGTTTGAAATGGATACTGCAATTCTGCTTTTAGTTAGTTCACATCTGTAGGGAGGACGCTGTTAACAACGCTTGATTTGTTCAATCAGTGTTAATAAAGCAAGACTGTGTTTAAAATGCAATATTATTTAAACAAAATGACAATTGAAGTCATATGTAATACAGTTTTAAAGAATAGGAACCAGGTTAAAAGTCATTATGTAATCAATCTTTGGGTGATGGGAGAACTGTTGTGTTGTTTTAAAGCTGTTAACATTTGTATATATGTAAAGGCATGAAAGTAAATATTTCGATTTTTGACATGTTGTTAATCAAATAACGCCCATTTGGAAATGTGCTTTGATTTTGTGGTGAGTTGGTACAGTATTTATATATATATATAATTGTTAACCTATAACCATCTGCCACTTTTTGCAACTGGAAACCTCCATAGGTTCTTCCTCCACCAGAAATGATGCCAAAACAAACATAATGCCCACTCATCTTCACTCTGTCACATGTGTTTTAGTTTTATCCTGAAAAGCTCCTTTGAAAGATTGCTCGTGTGCCCGTAGAAATGTGAGCAGCTGTGAAACCACCCTTTGGTTGAGGAACATTTCTGAAACATTCTGCCAGCTATTTCACTTTGAGCCCGCTGATAAAACCTGGCTGCATGTTTCCCCGGCCGTAGATTTCAAAAGGTGCCAGGTCATGTGGTCAGCGCTCTCTGTCTGGCTGGTTTGCTCGAACTCCACATATTTCATCCACAAGTGTTCCAATATCAGAGCTGCAGTGTGTGTGGCTAGTTTCACTGTGTATCTCTGTGTTTTATTTGAAGTACAGGCAACAGATACATATTAAGTACACAGTAGTATCATGAGATGACAATACCGGCCCATACAAAAAATGAAATAATTATAATTTGAATTACATAAAGAAAGACAAAACAGATAGGATGCCTTCAACATTTCGTATAAAACACACAAGATATGCAGATATTTCTTCTTTAGATCTAACTTTGGTCCCATTTCTTGTGGCAATATTTTTTCAAAAATAAATTGGCTTTCGCAATACATTTTTTAGAAAGCTTATATTAAGATATCTTTTGATTTAGCTTTAAAAATAAGCATTTTACCAAACAGAAAAAGTATATTTATAAACTGTGACGTATTCACATGTCCTTCTTGTTAATGGAACCTTTTAACAACACAACTTTATTTGCTTTTATTTCCCTTTAGCTTTATCTGTTTGTCATCTTGCAATTTACTTATTTATCTAAATAGTTATCACCGGAATAAGCCGTATTTCATTTCATCTTAATGTACAATATGTAATTATTAGTGCTGGGGGGAAACGATTATTTTGAAAACGATTAATCGGGCGATTATTTGATCGATTAGTCGACTAATCTAACGATTATTTTTCTGTTGTTCAATTCATAAAAAACGTAATGTAAAAAAAACGTAATGTAAAAACATTTTTTTTCACGATACTGTGTCTCAGGTAGGGCTGTGCGATTATGGCAAAAATCATAATCACGATTATTTGGTCAATAATTGATATCACGATTATTTTGACGATTATTCATTGACCATTTATTGAACTTTAAAACAAATAATATTTTACCAATAAACAAGATCAATAAATGTGTTGGAGCGCACTTCCAAAACCATACTAAACATATATTAATATGATAAATAAAAATAAATTAGACCAAAATAAATGAAATCAAATATGTTGCAGTGCACTGTCACAACCTACTGAAAACTCCTTAACATATAGCCAACATTTTGGTAAAACATATTCAACATATTCCACTCAGTTAAACATTGAAGGCTGGCCAACCGTCATGGTCCAGAAGTAACAGGAAATAAATGTTGAACTACAATTTAAGACCAAATAAAAATGTTTAGGCCACCATGGCAAATGCTGGTAGGGCTCCTCATGTCATCTCTTAAAGATTTTTTTGCAAGACATACCAGCCTGTTTACATGGTCTGGTTTCAGAGATGAGCGCAGGCAGGTGACAATATTGCCACCTGTACTGAAGACCCTCTCTGAAGAGGAACTTGTGGCAGTGCTGCCACATATGACACAGGAAAAAAAGAAAAGACTCTGAAGAACCCTTTCTTTGCCATTATATAAAAATAGTGTTGCTACAAAAGTATAAATTAGGCTTACTAATAAGACAACTCAGATCTGAAGCTACACAGTCATCTGCTGCAGCAACAGTGCAATAAAAAAGACAACATTAATAGAATCAAACCCATTTTTTGTTGCATTTTATTAGAGTATAAAAATAAATGCCTTTTAAAATAGGATGCAAGCAACACTAGTTTCTGAACTGATAGACTATAATCAATTTAAACAGAACAGATCTTAATGTTTGCATTCTTATACCATTTTGTACAATAATTATCATGAATAAATTCAAACAAACTAAAACTTACAGCTGATTAATAACGGTATCTAAATTGAGTTTTTATTATATCAAAAACCTGTTGAAATGCTGCTGTTATTTTTACTGTCCCACAAAAGCGCGTCGCAGCCTCCAGGAAAGCTTCTTTCACAACTTCGCCGTCTTCGAAAGACTTCATGTGTTTCGCAAGAACGTGACTGACACGATAAGATGCTCTGGTAGCAGCCTTGCTCTTGTCGTTGGGCCTGGTGAAAATGGACTGCTGTGCATTTAGCTGTGCTCTCAGGCCCCTCCCCTTTTGGAGCGTAGGGCAGAATCAGGAGGGAATTCCGTCTCGTAGCGTTTGTGCACTGTTTTGAAATGCCGCTCCTAAATTACCCTTATTCGATAAAGCCACGCTCGCATTGCAGATGAGAGAGATGGACTTTGAATTGGAATAGATACAAAAATAATGATCCTCCCACTTGGAGTGAAAATTATATATTTTGGGCTTTTTTGCTTCTGCCATAATTGCGGTCTTGTGTGTGTGCGGACTGTCACTCCTGTTGACCATCCATGCTGTTGACACAGACAACGTCAGCGAACTAGTGCACTGCTCACCAGCCACGCCCGGACACATGGGGTGAGGCCGGCCAATCACAAAGCTTTGATGCGTTCAAGTGCATTATTCTGGCACGGGAACATTATGTTACAGGACATTAACGATAAAACAGAATATTGTTGTTCTATTTTTAGACACATCTCGCGATCGACTGGGAATCTCCCCGCGACCCTTCTTTTTAACTAGTTGCTGCTCTTGTTCTGACATCTTCGCTTGCGCTGAACACTCACAACACATGTCACTCCCACGTGGCCGAGTGGGCTTTTAGGGAGAGGCGAAAGCGCACCCAGCAAAATAATCGTATTTTGTCAATTATGCTGTTTTCCTAATCGTTGCAAGCCATAATCGTAATCGCGATTAAAATACGATTAATTGCACAGCCCTAGTCTCAGGGGATCTTAATATTTAAGAACCTATTAATGTGTTATACCAGATTAACGGAAATAATCTCAGCTAACTGACGATACAAACCATGTTTACCAAAACAAAACACAAGTCTCATAAGAAGCAAACTAAAATGCTATCTAAATTACCCCTGAGCGAAAAATGCTAACGGACATTGGCACAGAACTCAAGATAAAAGTACCCTTATTACTTATCGTAGCTGCACATACAAGATATCCGATTAAAGCTGAGACTCCACAGATTATGTAGGTATATAGTATCATCACTGAGTGATCCGGACTCGCGACAGGGGAAGCAAATACAGTCATCACAACACGTACCTTCACAGAGCTTCTAGGGAGATCGTCTCACCGCCGTAGCTGTCAATCTGATCAAAATACGTGTTCAATGGCATTAAAATGAGAAAAAACGCGGCTGAATCGGTTAATCCATAGGTTTTTAACGTCTATGTATAAAAAAAGTATTGAATTGATAATCCATAATTCCATTTTTATGTAAAAATCGGAGAGCAAATGCTAGCTCCTAATGGTTGCCACCACAGCTAGCTGCTGCTTCCGGTCAAGCAGCTATCTCAGTGAGATATACATATATAAATATCTTTGCGTTTTGGACTAACTTTAAAATATTCCCATGCTTTTGAAGACCTAGGGCGAGATGTTTTCGTTTGGGGGCTTCGTGCGCAATCCTGTGAGGAGGAGGTGGTAGCCGTTTCAGTCTCCATTGTGTTAGAAGTGCGATTGCGAACTGCTTGTTGCTTTGGGTGACCCACGTGTGTGTGGCGACCATATATACAGTCTATGGTGGCGACGCGTCGACGCGGAAATATGTCGTCGACGATATTTTGAAGTCGTCGACGCGTCGCTACAGCACTAGTAATTATACATTATTTTCTTGTATACATCATATTCTGTGTTCGTGTAGACTTCTTGCACTATTTTTTATTTGTGTTTTATATATGTTGCATCGTTGGAGGAGCTCGGGTCTTAAGATTTCTACAATTACATTAAAACCTTTGAATCTTGAATTGAATTAAAATGATCGAGATCAGGACCATTATTTTATGCCAGTTACTTTCTGGAAATCAGAGCTCATGCTGTTTGTGTGTTGCTTTCCTTTGATTCTTAACAACTTGAACTCCAAGCAAACGTGTACATGAGAGTCAATGAACTTTAAATAATTGCACTGAACACGGCGGTCTCTCCTTCGCTCTGAAGGTCATGAAAGGATGTTTTTGATATCCCCGTCCTGCCTTCTCATTATTCCTTCTCAACACCCCCTGCTCACATCAAAAGCTTTATCAAGCAGCGTGCTTTTTGTACGGGACTTATCTATGGCCACCTCCCCACCTTCAGATGACAGCTCCACCACATCAAACGGGCAGAGTTACCCAGAGGCCTTTGTGCTGCTTCAGGTGGCGAGTGTAATGAGTGACTGTGCAGGTGAGGCTGCAGGAATGTGTGACCGCGAGCCTTTGAACCTCAGAGCTGAGCGCCTTCAGTGATGCAGTGGGGAGGCAGTGGGTGAGGGTGATTGTGTAAATAGTTGATATTCTCCACTGTAAACATATTATTTTGAGGTGTCGTGTTATAATTACTGGGATTGCCAAGAGTTGGTGTAAAGATAGTAATCCAAGTCTTTCCTTCGCACTTTCACTTGTTGCCATGTTGATGCTTGCATGAAATGTCAGTCTCTGGTTTTTACGTCATTTAGAATATTTAAGTATCAGACTGCAGAATACTGAACCGCTGTCTGCTCATATTTCCTTGTCTTAAGCATCCTATAACCTGACATGTTTGCAGGGTTGCAAATAATGATTGTTTTACACCAATCATTTCCCTCTAATAATCGTTTATGGTACAAATGTCCGTAAATTGTCTAAAGAAATGCTCCTCACAAGTTCCCAACGCCAATTTCCAGATCTCTGAATATGAACTTTTGTTCAGCAGATACAGTTTGATTTACTCGTGAAATGTTCTCTCTTTTCCCCACAGGGACCTGCGGAGTAACATGATCAGTCGCATTGAGCCTGGAGCTTTCCTCGGACTGCCGGCACTCAAAAGGCTGTGAGTAGTGGTGGAGCTGTGTCTTTAATGTGGTTTCTGCAAGTGTTTCTGTGCTCTACATTCACACATGTAGCCTCTGGGATGTCACTGACGTGTTCTTTTAATATTGCAACCAAATGAGCTGTAAATCAAGGTTTTCAAAGTGAGTGCTTGCTTTCATTATTTGCCATGTAAGAACAGAGGCTTATGAATAGTGTGAGTGAAGATTATATTATTTACATTCTGTGCCGTTTTCTTCCGATTCAGTCACACTTTACATCACATAATGAAACGTTGAATTAAGTGTGTGGCTGTATTTGTTATTATCACATGTATTCTGGCGTCTCTCAGCGTTCACACAATCCTATATTGTGTTTAAAGCAGCTGTTGCTTTGTGTCCATCAATGCAAAGAGCTGTGTGTCTTCTAACTGGAGTGTATCCAGTGTCCATAAGGGAGCAGGGTCCAGCGGCGGTTTCTATTTGCTCCTGCTTGTTGCCTCTGGGCCGCTGCCAGGGACCACTGCACGAGGCCCTCCATACTTTCACACACCACAGGAGGAGAAGCAGGCGGACATATAAAGCTGTGTGTCTATGAATGTCATGTGACGGTGATTCTGACATGCCCTGTCCTTCTGGGACGTGGTGTGCAAGAGTGGCAGGTCAGAGTGTTTCAGTTGTGTGTTTTTCTTTCTGTTTGTGTGCATGAGAGAGAGTGAGAGCGCAGCATGAATTGGAATCACCCGACAGCTCCCGGCGGCTGCCAACACAAACTGAGCCTGGCTGCTGCTGTGGAGCAACGAGAGCTAGACAAGAAGGCGGTCAGCCCCCCCCACCCCCATCCTCCTCACTGCATGCTCAGGCCTGCCTATATGTCTTCTGCATATTAAGCTTTCCATAAAGACTTTCCTCCTCACCACAGACTGATCTTTAGCCTCACATGGACGATGTTTGTTCCAGTTTGGTTTCGCCTCAGGGTAACAAAGTTGAATTGGCCCCTCCGCCCGCCTCGGTTCATTTCAAAGGGTGGTTGTCACTCACCGGAGTGAAAAGGAGGGAGAAAAGAGGAGACGAGTGAAGGATGAGGTAGTGCTGCTGGACCATGGGAATGTCAACACTGGAGCCAGACATCAAAGCTTGGCATCCGCCGTTACACATCGCACCAACGCTCGCCAGATTTGGAAACCGGGAGTTGAGCTAATTATCAGAAAGGAGGTTTTTGTTGTTACATTTACTAAGGTTGGGATTCTCCAGAGGTTCCATGATACGATATAATTACTGTACGATGTTTGCATTTAAACATTCTGAGAGTATTGGGATATCATATATTTATAAATGTTGCAATATATTACCTTTTCTTTAAACAGCTAATGATGCCAATAGACTCCCAATTAGCTGCCAATTGCGTAAACAAAAGCTAAACTTAGCACCATCTAGTGGACTAAAAAAGCCCTTTCTTACTAAAAAGTTGGATTTTTTGATTTCTAATTAGTAGTTTATATAATACAAAATGGATACATGGCATTGCTAGAATATCAAAAACATCGTGATAATATGCTGTATTTTCCCCCAGCACCTAACATTAACTTTACTTTAAGCACACTCTTCCCTACGTTTCTTTTTGTCCCTATCTTTCTATCTTTGACTCTAGCCGGTGTTTGATTTCCCTGCCCCCCCCCCCCACCCCCCCTCAGTGTGGCCTAATTCGATTTCTTCTCAATTCAAGACGTGCCATTTGGAGCGGCTTTTCCTCTCATGTGTTCAAAGGGCAGTGCTATTTAAAGAGAAGGCGGCAGAAGTAGAAGAAAGAGATAATAAGTTCAACACATCAAAAACATTTCAGACCAAACACTCAGATATTAACTTTTGCACAATGTTGCGTTTTAATTGAAATGTTTAAATCTTTTATTTGAGTGAAAATAACTCACTAAAAGAGAGTAATAACAGTAGTCTCCCCCTTGTCTTCAGTCCCTTGTTGTAACTCTAGAAGTTGAGTCCAGGTGATAAAGAGAGATGAAAGTCTGCCTTCAGCCCCCCCCCTCCACCCTGATTTATCCTTCCCCTGACACACAATGCTTGCACAAATTGGCAAGCCTGTAAAAGAAGCCTTTTTCTCTTTCCTTCCAAGTGGAACTAATAACCTCACACAGTAAAATCCCCAGCTGGTACCTGAAGCACCAACACCAACAATTACAGAAACGCTCAGATGTTAGCGTATGCCTGACAGACATTTTCCAGGTTTGTGTGGGGATCACATTCCTCCAGCACCCCCAGGACACTGTTCAGCTTGTGCGCTGAGCTAATGTCTTCTCCCAGGCTCTTCACAATGATTGGATCACTCACAGGAGAATATGTGAAGCTGCGCTGACTTTGAACCTTTGAGTTGCTGTGACTGGTTTCTTTAGATGTTATCTCTCTGGGAAGACAAAGAGCCCCTTTCCTTCTTGTTCTGTATACGCCAGGGGTGTCCACACTGTTTTCACTGAGGGCCACATACAGAAAAACATACAAAGGGCTGGGCCCCTCACTAGAGGTGAGGTATACTGCCTCATAGGTTAAATTATAATTCAGCAAAATCAATCAAATGTAGGTAAATGATGCTTTTCTACTTGAATATGATTCAAGAAACATCACAGCTCTCCATAGGGTTTCAGTTGCAGCTCATCCCTTAATACCTCAGCCTCAGATAGCTATAATAAGGGGAAATATGAAGGGTCTATTTAAAGCTTGTTATGGAAATAAATGTGTTGGAACATGTTCTCAGCTCTAATTGACTGAATGTCTTTGAATAGTGGGCTTATTAACATATGAAAACAACTGTGTAATATAGGCTCACATACATGTTTAAGAAGTACAATATAAGACAAACACGAGTTTTCAGGTGAGGGGCCATACCGTTATACTTTAAGAATTTGCTGAGGGCCAATTAGAAATGGACAACGGGCAGCATTTGGCCCCCGGGCCGTAGTTTGGACACCCCTGGTCTAAGCATTGTCTTACAGACTTTCCCACATTTTGAGGTATATGTGCTTCAGGGAGCGGTGTGCTAACGTTTCCAGGAGCCTGCAGTGAATATTTCCCCTCGGCAGATCCTTCACATTGAGTGTAATTCACAGCGGCAGGATCAGTACTTTCCGTGTTCGCTCCCGGACTCGCCTTTGATTCCTCCTGAAAGGCGTCGGCATTCTCAGACACTTCCACCTGACGTTTGCCGGAGACATCGTGTCAGATCACATCCACAAGGAGAAACACACACTTTTTTTTCCTGACGCTTTTCACGTTATTCAAAGGCGATTAATCCTCTGCCTCAGATGTGTAGGTTTCCCCCGGAGGCCCACACAGACACGTTATCTGAAATCACCTTGAACGTTGTTAACCTGTCAGCTGAATATTTGGGCTGTTTGCCTCAACCTGTCCCCGTTTCACTTTTTTTTCTCCCCTCAAAAACCCTGCTACGCTTTAACTCGGCAACGTCATTATTTCTCTGTTTATCCATTCTTCTCATATGGCTTATCTTGTTGGTAAACATTCCCAGCCTTTTACTCATAGATGGTGTTTCAAACAAGTGTAGCTGTCATCTTGTGTTTATGCTGAAAAGTGGAACTTTGTTTGCTGTGTACTACAGGGACTTGTCTAACAACAGCATCGGCTGTCTCAACGTGGACATCTTCAAGGGCCTCACCAATCTGATCAGACTGTAAGTCCACAGTATTGTTATGAATATATTAGTGTGTGCTAAAACATGCATTTATATAACCATGTCTTTGTCATCAACCTGGATAAATAATCTCTATTTTCTTGCAGAAACCTTTCAGGGAACATCTTTTCCTCCTTGGCTCAGGGGACCTTTGACAGCTTGGCGTCTCTGAAGTCACTGTAAGTATAAAATGAGTGAAGATGCATTAATAAACCATGGATTGAAACTGTCTGGATGTCAGCTGATCATATTTCCATTTGAATACCAGTCAAATTAACACACAGGCTGTGTTCCCAATAGAAATGTTGCACCCGTTTCCTTCTGGCAACGTAAAACATGTCGATTGGATTCGTTTATTTCCAGTAACGGTGGACTTTTTTTAATTTTGAGATTTGTTTGAGTGATAGAAAGTATATTTTCTTGGAGCAGTTTTAGAGAAAATGCAAGCTTTTAAATAGTCAATGATTTGTTTGGAACACATTTCTTTTTTTCCCATTCAATAAAAGTTAGAATTAGTTTTGGGTATGCTGTAAACCATTGTTCTCATCATTGTTCTAAATCATTATAAACAGGTCAGACTTAATAGAAAAAAAAGTTTACATGCAAAACATCAATAACAGATGCAAAATGATCAAATCAATTCTTAAATAATAAGTATTAAAGGCATTAAATATGGCAGCAAGGTGGAGGTTTTCCATCAGGCAGAACGCGGTTGGTCTTTTAACTTGATATTTGTTGGTTCCCCAACACTTAACATGTCGTGTGTGTGTGTGTGCACAGGGAGTTCCAGACGCCGTTCCTGCTGTGTGACTGCAACCTGACGTGGCTGCTGCGCTGGATCAGAGACAGGAACATGGTGGTGAAGAACACAAAGTGCTCCTTCCCTCAGTCTCTGCAGGGCCAGCTCATCACCTCCATCAAGCCCGAGCTGCTCACCTGTGGTAGGGACACACACACACACACACACAGATTTGACCCAGCTGAAAGATGTCATCCTAAAATAGCAGCAGGTTTAACACTCTGATACTGAGCCATTAGTCATTCCAGGGACACTCTCTGATGTGTCTTTTGTCCCGTCTCAGACGTTTTGAAATGTTGAAATAAGTCATGTTGAGTTGTGACACAGATTGTGGTGTCAAACGGTGGCCTGCCTCTTTAATTTCTCTATTTTGGTATCAGAGAGGCTGCTGGTGTTGGGGGAGCGGGGGCTTGTGCAGTGACAGGAGATAGGAGAAGGGCCGGGCCAGTGTTTGTACTTGCTCATATCTTATCTGTGAGGCCGTCATCACGGTGAGGGATTATGGAATACAGGGAACAGGTTTAGCAGGAGCCGTGGCCTCACATAAATGAAAGATTACCCCGAATTCAAGGCACTGTTTTGTTTTTGAGACTAAAAGGAGAGTATGTGCAGAGCAGGGTTATTATGGTAATCTAAAACTAAAACTGGGCTTGTGTAAGCATGAAAGAAGACACAAGTTGACTACCATACGTTTTAAACTTTATGGCCATTCAAAATTCAGAGATATAAAACCTGGCCCTAACACAAATCTAACTAGCACTAAATATATATGGAACTAAAACTTAATGATAACATTAAACTAATGTAAAACAAGCAAACACATTGGAAATATTCTTTGGAGCATTGAATGAAAAAACAAGGAAGCTGGACACCAATCTGGGTCTGCATGGTAAACTGATACTTGTGCCGGCTACAAACATGGCCACAGTAAAAACAGGCACCACTGAGATTAGGAAAGATGTCACAGCTGTTACTATCCGCCTGGCGTGTCCTAAAAACACACCTGCCTAATATGAGATTCTTATATCAACATATGTACAAAGTCTACTGTTTGAATATGTATGTATATATTAATCGAGAGGAACTGGATCAAATGTTACAAATCAAATCAAATCTAATTGAACCTGAAGGGGAATGGAATAAAAAATACTTTGAGCCAACTAACTTAGCTTTTGATGAATGAAGCCCTGAATCTTTTTCTAACTTGACTCTTATTCTCTCCTGGTTTCCCCAGACGCCCCCCTGGAGCTGCCCTCCTTCCAGCTGACCCCCTCCCAGCGCCAGGTGGTGTTTCAGGGGGACAGCCTCCCCTTCCAGTGCCAGGCGTCCTTCGTGGCCGAGGACATGCAGGTGCTGTGGTACCAGAACGGCCGCATGGTCAAACAAGACGCCGCGCAGGGCATCTTCATCGAGAAGCACATGGTGCAGAACTGCTCTCTCATCGCCAGGTACGGCAGTGTCTGTAGTCTCAGGCATTTTGCGAGGAAATGGGACAAAATGGTTATCTCAAATGTTTCTAATTTCTTGTTTCCCCTCAGTGCGTTGACCATCTCCAACATCCAGCCGGGGTTCACTGGGAACTGGGAGTGCCGGGTCAGGACGAGCAGAGGCAACACCACCAGGACGGTCCACATCGTGGTGCTGGAGAGTTCTGCAGAGTACTGCGCTCCTGAACGCATCTCCAACAACAAGGGAGAGTTCAAGTGAGTTTCCCCCGACATGGAGTATACAACAAGCAGAACAGAGCTACTGACTTATACTTAAGTGTGTTGGATACATTCAAATCTGAGGATATTTTTTCTAAATGAGACGATTAAAAGAGGCATTGTTACTGAGTTTAAGCTGGTCAAGTAATTAGAAAGTTTTTATTGTGAACATAGAATTTAATTAGAATTTTCTTTCAAAAAAAGGAACACAATGTTTTTGAGTATGCTTAGAAAAGGTCAGCCGTTTAAAAAGGGTTAGAGTGCATCTGCAATAAGAAATATGTTGCTTTTAACACGCAGGCATCAATGTGTGTTTGTCAGTTAATCTAAAATGCAATCTAAACTGGTAAATATGCAGTATAACTTTTTTAGATAGCTCTGTGGCGCCCCCCTGTGGTAAAACATAGACTTTACTTCAGGGCTTGAGCCATAATGAGCACATGACTGTTGATGTTATTACACAAAGTCAGTAAAACATAGGGACGCTTCATATACAGGTTGATGGAACATATTTTGCTCTGCTCCCTGCAGGTGGCCTCGCACTCTGGCGGGGATCAGAGCGTACCTGCCCTGCAACAGACTGCCGTCGAGCGCCGGAACGTACTCGGGCAGCTCGGGTGAGGAGCAGAAAGCGTGGAGATACTGCGACCACAAAGGGCTGTGGACGGAGGAGGACTACTCCCGCTGCCAGTTCCAGAAGGACGTCACCAGATTTCTGTTCGTCATCAACCAGGTCTGTGTCTGAGAAACTTATGTTCTGCTCTGTAACCTCATTCACTGTTTCCTCTTTCCCCAATTACAACAGTTTTGATCAGAATGAATTCACTAGATTCAACAGTTCAAATAATCTACAAAGCATAACATTCAGAATCTGGTTTACATGCTTTTTTTTAACTTTAAAATATAATCAAATCTTTAAAGAAACTTGCTGTAATCCATCCTGATAGGGTTCATTTTTACTAACAAACTATCTCCCTCTGCCTTCCTGCAAGAAGGCTCCAAAACAGTAGAACTGCAAACAAATCTATTATTCAGAATCCACTAGGGGTGTAACGGTTCACAAACATTTCGGTTCGGTACGTACCTCGGTTTTTTGGTCACGGTTCGGTTCGGTACGTTTTCGGTACAGCAGCATTTTTTTTCACAAAACAAAACATATATATATATTTTTTTATTATTATTAAACTGTGAATAATGTATTCACTCAAATAAATACAAAATATAATAAAATAAACATTAAGGTGCAGCATTTCGATGAACTGAAATAATCTGTATTTTAACTTTACTGTACTAGTACTCACAAAACATAAACTATTAGTTTTGGGTTTTTAATTATTATTAAACTGTGAATATTCACTCAAATAAATACAAAATATAATAAAATGAACATTAAGGTGCAGCATTTCGATGAACTGAAATAATCTGTATTTGAACTGTAGCCTACTGTACTAGCACCTAAGCAGCCAGTTTGACATTATGACTTGCTTGTAATTGTATTTTCATGTTATTTTAAAGAAAAATGAACTTGTCCACATTGCTTGCTGAAAGGGCAGATCTGCTGGCACTAACAATGTCTCTGTGGAGAACACCCTCTCTAGGGACAGAGGTAGCAGATACAGCCAGGTAGCGCTTTGCTAACATGGCAACATAAGGATAGTTGGCGTTTGTAATAGCTTTGGCTCGGTCTGAACTCTCTGCGAGTGGTGGAGGCTCAAATGCTAGCGGGAGTTGGGTTTGCACTTCAGTCTTTTTTCTTTTGGTACCGGTGATATTCACGTTCGGGTGATGCCTTTTCAAGAGTGTGCAAGTTTGATGTATTGCCAGCCGCGTAACCAATTTTACTTGAACAATGCCGACAAACAGCTTTGGTTCGGTCCACCTGTCTTTGTCCGTCATCCTTGTACGTAACTGCGAAACCAAAATGTTCCCAAACCGGAGACTTCAATGATGCTGGAAGATTTTCGAGCTCAACTTTATCTGCGTTCGCCATTAATTTTTGACAGTTCCTCAAATTACTGACTACATTTGAACGCATCCCTGTGACCAGCTCTCATAGTATGCCTCTCATCCAATGAAATGACTTGCTCGCTCTATGACGCGTTGAACCCAATGTGAGCAAATTACTCTGAATGCTGCGACGCAGCACCTGAGATTACTTCCAAAAAGTTATTCACGTTCTCAATTTTTTACGTTTAACGTTATATTCGTTCGGTACACTTCGGTACACACCTGTACCGAACCGAAGGGCCCGTACCGAATAATTTCGGTACGGTTACGTGTACCGTTACACCCCTAGAATCCAGTAAATTGGCATTTATCTTTATGTTGTTGTTTTCTATTTCTTAACTATACATCTTTAAAACATATTTAAATAATTATATTAAAATAACATATCTTCCTTCCACAAACCAAAGTTTTTGAAAAGGAATATCTTAAGAATCAAGAATAGGGCAAACTAATCTATTCTCTATCTATCCAGTCCATTTGTTTGTTTTTATTTAAAAAAGTTTTGATTAGTTATTTGATAGTGAACTCTCCCTCTCTGTGTCTTGTTTCCAGATGCCTCTGAATGAGAGCAACGTGGTTGCCCGGGCTCGCCGCCTGCTCGTCTACACCGTCGAGGCCGCCAACTTCTCCGACAAGATGGACATCATCTTCGTGGCGGACATGATCGAGAAGTTTGGCAAGTTTGTCGAGAAGTTTAAAGATGTAAGTGCTGCTCTTAACTCTTTTCTTTTTTTCATGAGCTTATGTTCGCGTAAGAATGCTTGTCCTTGTTCAAACATAAATAGATGAATGCTCAGCAGCTGTTTCTTATCATGTTTAATGAGAGGTGTTGTCACGACATGGGCACAGCTGTAGGCCGGCAAAAGGAACAGTTTTCAAAGTGAAGCACTAAAAAGCAGTTTAAAAGTGTAGTTTGGCGCTTCTATGCTTAAAATGTGTTTCTAATTGTCACCTAGCGAGTCAAGTAACCCCTTAAGTCAACACAGCATGTGTTTATGGCCGTTTGATACAAACAAGATGCTGAATATGTTCGAATCTTATGTCTTTTAGAAAAGCTGCTGCTGAAGGAAACATTTAAAAACACAACCTTACAAAGCAGGTCCATGTTAAGCACAGGAGCTATTTTAAATGACGACAATACTCATTTGGACATGGTACGACTCATAAATGACATTTCACGTCAACAACCGATGTTCATTCCCTCGTGTCAAAATGCTTCCCTCTCTCAGCTGGGTGAGGTGATGATCAGCATGGCCTCCAACCTGATGCTGGCTGATGAGCGCGTGCTGTGGATGGCTCAGCGTGAAGCCTCAGCGTGTTCTCGCATCATCGCCTGCCTGCAGAAGATCGCCGTCTACCGCCTGGCCACGGCACAGGCCTTCTCCCTGGTTAGTCCTAATACCTGCCTTTAGCTTTAGATGGACACATGAGCACGACCCCTAAACTGAAAAACATGCAACACATGTCTCTGTGTCTTTGGATCAGTCTCTCTTTGTAGTTTTTTTATGTATTTTCTTTATCTTTTGTATCTCTTTCCAGTATGTCTGTGTTTCACTTTTCTTTGCTTTGTGATCGTTTGCATGTCCATATGTTTGTTTCTTTGTATCTTTGTAGTCATTATGTGTCTCATTGTAGTCAAAACTGCTGCTACAAATCCTGTTTAATGAGGAAGAAGAGAGGCTATCTGTCTTTAAATGAAATGTTATTTGGCTTCAGTATGCAGTGCAGCTGTAATCTGAAGGGAAAAGTGTATATATATCTCTGGTCGGCAGATACTCAATATTAAAGACTTTGCCTGCATTGTGCAATTTAAGTAGGACCTGTATGTCATGTTGCACTATTAAAATGTTGTTGTAAAATCCTTAGTCAAATGTTGTTGTTGTTGTTGTCCTTCCAGACCTCCCCCAACATCGCGCTGGAGGCTCACGCTGTCAGGGCGGCCGACTGGAACGGGATGACCTGCATGTTGTTCCAGAGGCCGAGCCCGGAGCGCTCGCCGGGGGGGGATCGCCAGCTCACCTTCAAATGCAACACCACCAGCTCCTTCTCCAGCATCCTGCACAAGGTCAGCTCCATACAAAATGAAACCCTCTGATGTTTAACATAACAAACGAATAAGAATCTAACCGTTTCATGTGTTTTGTCCCTGTAGAGCACCATAGTGGAGGCCTCCCTGCAGCTTCCTCAGGCCCTCTTCACCCCCGCTGCGCTCCCCGGGCACCCTGAGGACACCGTCTACAAGCTCCACCTCCTGGCCTTCCGCAACGGCAAGTTCTTCCCCTCCACCAGCAACTCCTCCCAGCTAGCTGACGGGGGGAAGAGGAGGAGTGTGGCCACCCCCGTCATCATGGCCAAGATTGGTGAGTAATCCGACAAATTGTAATTCAAATCCTTTTTCCCACAGCACACGACAACTTGACATCAGTTATCTTTGCATCAGTTCTGATTACTCTGCCTGTTTCCCATCAGACGGCATGTCCCTGCGTGTCCTGAGGTCTCCCGTGAACATCACCCTGCGGCGGTTTGCCCGCGGCTCAGACGCCGTGTCCGCATGCTGGAACTTCAGCCTGGTGGGGGGGCAAGGAGGGTGGCGGAGCGACGGCTGCCGCATCCTGGATCATCACGACAACTTCACCACCATATCCTGCAACTCACTGGGAAACTACGCCCTGCTGATGGTGGGTTGCTCCTTGTTGTATGACAATGACAGCAAGTCTGTGTATCAGCATTGGACAGTTTGTAGTTGTCTTTTAAGCATTATAATATAACCTGTAGTGACTTGGAGTGCCAATATTACCTAAACCTGAGGATGTATCCCCCCCTCTGTCATGCAGGACCTCAGCAGTGTGGAGTTTTTCTCTCCCAGCATCCGGCCCCTGCACCCTGTCATCTACGCCACAACCATCATACTCCTGATCTGCCTGCTCACCATTACCATCAGCTACATCTACCATCACAGGTGAGACCTCATCATGTGTGTCTGTCATTCATTGGTTGTCCTTTATATTGAAACCCTGCAGGATTTGGCTTTGGAGAGATTTTCTGCTACCATTTGAATCATTTACCAATGCACGAGACGAATGCATTTTAACTTCTCATTGGTTGTCATATTCAGACGATTGTAAAATATATTGTCTACATGAACATGTGTCACATCCGTAATAAAGAAATGCTAACTGTGTTTTGTTTCTCTGACCCCAGGTCTGTCCGTGTGAGCCGCAAGTTTTGGCACATGCTGGTCAACCTCTGCTTCCACATCTGCCTCACCTACGGGGTCTTTGTCGGGGGAATAAATCAGACGCGTTATGCAAGCGTGTGCCAGGCAGTGAGTATACTCCTCTAACACAAAATAGAACAAGTGCTTTTGTTGTTTTGCCTTTGGCTAAGTTCACTCTGCTCGTAAAAAAAGTTGTGGAAACTCAGTAAAAGATGCATCGAAGGGTAAAGTAGATAGTTTCCATGTCCGGGGGTGATCCCTTATGGTGCAAATACATTACTTCTTCAGTGTTCATTGCACCATGTACCTGATGAAAGATTTTTGCAGAGAACGTTTTGTTTATTTATGTAATCCCCTCTGGCATACAGATATCTCACAAATAGACTTTTCAGCTCAGGCTGGTAATGACACGCTCAATAGGAAATAGCTCAGGGATCTACGTGCCATTTAAAATACTGATGCACTGCCCATCATTCTTATTTGTATTGGGGAAATGTAACTACAGCTGCATTCGGACGATGGAGAATAATTGCATTTATCTCCATTAAATCTTATGTTTATATGTATGCCCTGTTTTCTAGGTTGGGATCTTGCTGCATTACTCCACTCTGGCCACCGCTCTGTGGGTGGGGGTGACGGCACGCAACATTTACAAACAGGTGACCCGAAAGGCCAAGCGCTACGAAGAGCTGGACGAACCTCCACCACCACCACGGCCGATGCTGAGGTACGAGACATTACAGATAGGTGGACAAAGTTAACACATAGGTTTATTTTAACTTGGATGAGATTACTCCCAATGTCAGCCTTTACTAACAATTTAAATGTATTTGGTGCTGAAAGATTTTGTAAACTGCAGACACTTTAATGCTGAACTGTAAGATATCTAGTTGTTAGTCCTAGCTTCACTCTCCACTTCTAACCTTCTGTTAGAAAAGAAGTCAACACACCAGAGATTAAAAAAACCTAAGTTGTGCCATCTGTTTCTTTTGTGATATATAAAGTGAATATATATTTAGCATAATCATATATATAATGCTGCTATGACACCTGCATTTCCCTACATTTATTAAAATGGCTTGTCTTTTTTTAGCTGATCTTAAAAGCAGACGTTTTAAACAGAATGCCTCAAAAATAATGCTTTTTATTTAACAGGGAAAATGCACTCATCAGGAGAAGCTGTGTCTTATTGTGAAATTATATTTGAGGTTTCCTTACTCAGAATCAGAATACCTTTGTTAGTCCCACAGAGGGCACATTTCCATTGTTCCAGCAGAAAAGAGCCAAAGATAGCTTAATGCTACCTAAGAAGCATGCATCAAAAAGTATTAAAGATAAGACAAATTATAATAAATATTAAAAAACAAAGTGGTCCTGTTTGTTGGTGAATCTGCCACACGGTGTCAGTGTAGAGACTACTATGTCCAGTAAAGCTGTCTTCCTCCAAACACAAAGACTAACTAACCAATCTCTCTGCTCTCTAATAGGTTCTACTTAATCGGCGGAGGGATACCCATCATTGTCTGTGGAATCACTGCAGCAGCAAACATCAAGAACTACGGCAGCCGGACCAATGCCCAATAGTAAGTAGTCCCTGTATGAAAAGCAATTAAAGATCCTTCATGTTTGTGCTCCTGCAATGTTTCAAATGAAGCCTCCAGCCCCAGGAGATGTTTTACACTCTCCTCAGGAGGATCTGGCTTTAGTTATCGACCGGCCAGGCTGCGTTGCATTGGTAAATAATGGATATTTTTATAAGGGTATGAAAAGTATATTCCCTGATGTTCTGATTATGGAGGCCTATTAATGGTAATGTGCATCCAAGCATCAACAACCGCAGCGAGTTTACAGCGCTCCTACAGAAGCAGCTGTTTACATGTTCAGTGATGGTGGATGACTAATTGAGAAATCTGCAGCCGTATCTGTCGGAAGTCTTTGGAGTTTAAGTAATTCCTTTCAATTAAGACAAATCCAGCCTGGGTTATTACATGTAATGGGACAGTGGCTGTGCAAAACACCACGCAAAAGTTTTTCAAAGAGTTTGAGAAGTAAATAAGGATGGTGGCAGATTAAGATGAGGAGATGTGGTTTACTTTTAAGAGGTAACATTTAATAACTATTAAAAAAATAGAGAACATACTTCCATAAAGGCTTGCGGTGTATTAGTTGGGATGTAATTTTTCCAACTTTGGTGTGTTCATGTGTAAACAACATGGACACAAAACACATTTGTTGGAGTGTTTTAAACGACATTTTGATATCTCAGTTTCTCTGTTCTGACTTTACGGTTTCCCAATCAGGAACTCGTTGCAGCACAAATGCCCCTATGTTTTGTTAAGAGAAGTAAAACAATTTCGCCGCCACATTATTTGAATCGGCTCCAAACATTGAATAGGTCGAGGTTCCTTGGCACATACTACAACCTTCCACCAAGTTCCACATAAAACTCTCATAGAGTATCAAACGCCACACCTATTCTCTTCCTGTAAATGAAAGGTCTGATTGTCCGTCTCCTCTCTAGTTGCTGGATGGCCTGGGAGCCCAGTATCGGGGCTTTTTACGGCCCTGTGGGATTCATCATCTTCGTGGACTGCATGTACTTCCTCAGCATCCTCCTGCAGCTGCGCCGCCACCCTGAGCGCCGCTACGAGTTCAAGGAGCTGACGGACGAGCAGCAGCACCTGGCTCTAGTCCACAGCGAGGGGGGGGCCGATGCTCCCAGCAGCCACTGCCATCCCCTCACTCTGCAGCTGCAGCCTGAGGGATCCTCCTCTGTGGGCTCCGCTCCACACTCGGTGCCGCTGTCGGCTCTGGAGAACGAGCACACCTTCGCCGCTCAGCTGATGGGGGCGGTGGGGGCGCTGGGGCTGTACGCCGCCCTCTGGGTGTTCGGGGCCATGGCCGTCTCGCAGGAGCACCCCTTCGACTTGGCCTTCACCTGCCTCTACGGGGTGGCTGCGCTGGCTCTGGGGGCCTTCATGGTGGCCCATCACTGTGTTAACAGACAGGATATGAGGCGCTACTGGTCCCAGGCCTGTTGCTCGGGGAGACGGGCCTACTCTGCCCAGGAGGACGTGCTCCTGCCTCAGCCGGGCGTAGCCATGACGTCGACAGCAGGGTCAGCGAGCAAAGCAGACGGGGAGTCGACGCGGTGCGGCCAGAGCAGCGCAGACTCTTCTTACACCAATAAAAGCGGCCCCAGCGTGCGTAACTCCGCCCACGGCAGCAAGCTGACCAATCTGCACGCAGAGGCGGCGCAGTGTAAGACCGCCTCGGCACCGGTGACCGCCAACGGTGCAGCTGTTTTAGACAACAGCCTGACGGAACATTCTATAGACAATGAAATAAAAATGCACGTGGCTCCGCTGGAGGTGCAGTTCCGCCCGATGAACAACATCAACAATCCGGCCGCGCTTCCCAACGGACACGTGGGCAGGCATCACAAAAACAGAGCGCGGGCGCACAGGGCCAGCCGGCTGACGGTGCTGCGGGAGTACGCCTACGACGTGCCCACCAGCGTGGAGGGCAGCGTGCAGAGCGCCAATCACAGGCGCCACCATCATTACGACGTAGCGGCGCGCAACAGTCGCCGTGCGGCCTACATGGCGTACAGGGAGCGCCACCAGAGCCAGCAGCAGCACGACAGCAGCGACAGCGCCAGCCTGCCGCGCCGCCCGCGCCACGCAGACAAGGGAGGGGGCGGCGCGCTGGGGAACGGGACGGTGGTGACGGTGGAGAAGGAGCAGGTCGCTGCTGATGCTGCTGCGGGGTCCGACGCCAGTAAAGACTCTGACCCTGTCCCGCAGCCCGACACTGAACTAGAGACACAGCCCAAATCTTACGGGCTGAACCTCATCACTCAGAACGGTGGAACAGTCAAAGAAAACGGACAGCTTGTGCCTTTACTAACCACAGAGAGTGCAGCCAGTATAAAGACCGGCCTGTGGAAACATGAAACTACTGTGTAGCGACAGTTTCCGTACCCAAAGACTGAATCGCCTTTAAACTGTGAAATGCTTTTGTTTTTTTCTATTGTACATTTATTTTATCAAATCATTACTGCCACTGAACTATCTCTGTAGATATGTTTTTTTTGTAAATGGTCTATTTTTATAACTTTAATCCAAACCTTGTTGTGCCATTCTAAGAGTTGTGTAATTGAAACTGCATACCCTTACTCCCGGGGATTTATTTTCCATTTAATAGTTTGCCCCAACAATAATAAAACAAAAGTGTTGTACACCTAATTGAACGTTTGTGTTCCTGTGATCTCCTCTCTCTGCAGCCGGTGCAATGGTGAGCTCTTTCCAAGAATTACTCGTGCTGACAGAATATGACAAGCTGGTAATTGGGTTTCTCGCTGACCTTCAGGTGGCCTCAGTCCCCCCCCCCCCCCACACAGCGGGCCTTCTTTAAATGCAGCTGGCTTCAGGCATAGAGGTGCATCTCCTGACTGCTGGCAGACTGGATGAGTGCAGTACGTCCTGAACTCCCGCTGACTCGATGCCCGTGGTGTGATTGACAGCTGACTCGCAAAGCAGCCGCCAGGAGAAGACAGAATAATGAGAGGAGTGCAGCTTGTTCCCTTCACCTCCCCCCCCCCCCCCCTTCCTACACAGTCCCAGGCAGAGAGCATATAACTGACACAAAGTATGGTGCATGCTGAGTATTTATATTATAGAATAACTTGAATGTATCTGACATGGTGGTTGCCTGACAGTAAATCTGTTCTCTGCTTCCAACGCTTTAAGAGGAGGCTTCAGCAAGGGGGATATGTGACGATAGGTTCCAACGCCTCTTCTATATAACAGCAAGACACAGACTTAAAGATCGTTTTTTGTCTCACTTAAGTTGCTTCTTGTCTCTTGTGGTCGTTTTGCCCCTCTCATAGTCCTTGTGAGTCTCATTTGCAGCTGTTTTGCATTTATTAGTTCTCTTTGCTAAAGCATCCATGTTGTGGTGAAAGGTGTACTCACTACAATACAAATACAACTATAAAGTTTCGTGCTTTCCAACATTAGTCGGGCCAAGGACGACGGGATAAATCTGAAGGGTCAACAGTCTTTGGGGGAGTGTACAATTATTTTCAGAAAGTCAATGTCACACTGTTTGATTGAAAACCCTTTCCAATGCTTTAATATTATTATTCAATAAGGCAATCACTTCTTATTAAAAGTGATATTCATGTCTTCTCAGCATGCCACTAACTCTTTTTTTTAAGGTTGTGCTGCAAAATGTTCCCGCTATTCTTTTCATCAGTAATAAACGCCTGCTGATCACTCCCACAGCAGAGGAAGCGCAGCTCAGAGTTTTCATTTATGGCATATTAATAAAGCAAAGATATATTGCCCAGCCAACTTGGATGTGACAAATTATAATAAGACTTCTGAATTATGTAGAGAGCAGTTATGCCGTGATTCGTCGCAGCCTCGCACATTTCCTCCAGGCATGAAAGAGTGATCTTCAAATAATTGCCAAGGTTCTTTAACACTGCCGTCGGTTAGAGTTCATCTTCGGCTGTCAGCGAGGCGGGAATGACAATGGGACGATGTTTGGGGGGAAAGCTCATTAAAGCACTGATAGCATCTCTGATTTAAGATCACAGGGACACCTTGGGCGGAAATCCATAATAAATAAGATAAAACAAATGGAGTCATTAAGATCTTTTCTTAGTCTCATTCAGAAGTCTTAGGGTCAGATGCCAGAAATAGCACATCAGAGTATCCTAATTGTAAACAGTCTATTTTCAGGAACAGCGATGACTCATCTTTTCCACCCAGTTTCCACTTAGTGTGCGCTGCGGAGTGTATCTGAGCTGCGTGCCTCACCAGGAGGACGACCAGCGGCAGACAGCTGATGTCTGTTTACATTTCAGCTGCTCATCCCCCTGCAGCAGCATCTGCCTCTGCCGTGGAAACCTGCCTCTGCAATGAAGATTGATTCTTTTCAGAGAGTGGAGCCATCTGATTGTAATTAGCTGGCTGTGGCTGTCCAGGGGAGCCACAAATACTTCTACCTGCAGTCTGATCATCTACCCGAAAACCCTCAGAGGCCGGGAGTAAAGATTAAAGCAATAATTAGCACACAGGGTTTGTGATGATCGCTGCCGCTGTCCAACAGCTGTCTGCTGAGATAACGGCTGAATTTATGTTGTTTTCTTTGAGCAGATATTTGGAAATCATCAGTAAGTTGTGTTTAAGCGAAGGTCAGGGCTTTTTGTAAGTGTTTGCATTTCAGCACTTAGTCATTCAACTCACACTTAATTACACATCATACTGCCCACCTTATCTAAGACAAATGTATGATTGCGTCACATTACAGCCATACAATTATTAGTTGGTAGTTTTTTTTCATCATGAATATTCAACACATCCTCACTCCCAGGTCGGCCTATGTTGACGTTATGTCAAGTACTGTGTCGGCTTTTTCCAACGCAAGGGGGGGGGCCTTAGCGTCCATTTTCAACGCAAGGGGGGGGGCCTTAGCGTCAATTTTTTGATGGTGCCCAAAGTTGAATCATGATATATTTTGGTTTGCACACAAGGACTCTGCATTGTGATTAATGAGAAGCACCGTATATATTGGAATTCTGTCACTTCAATTGATCTTAACACAAAGTTAGGGACTTAATATAATATTTTCATCCCACACATTCCAGGGGTATGAGAACTACTGTGCCACAGTATAGGAGAAGACTCAATCATGAGGTGGAACATGGAATTTGCATTGTGATTTGACAGGATGAGATGTGGAGTTTTATTCTTAAATTGTTGACTGGCAGAATATTTAAAATGGCGCTTATAGCCAGCTTCTTCTGACACCTTTATCTGTTGAATAAACATTAAGTTCACTTCCTGAAAACACCAGCTAAATAGCACAGTTTCTCTTTAAAATAATCTTCCTTCATTATTAATTTTAGTCACTCTTCCCACTTCAACCATAAATAACATGGACAGGGAAATGTCTACTCCTGTTTTGGATTATCAGCAGAAAACCAAGTTGGCGTTGCATAATCTGCAGACAGTGAATCAGCTATTTTTGAGGAAATGATGTGCAAGTATGAAATATTCCAACACATCCTCACTCCCAGGTCGGCCTATGTTGACGTTATGTCAAGTCCTGTGTCGGCTTTTTCCAACGCAAGGGGGGGGCCTTAGCGTCCATTTTCAACGCAAGGGGGGGGCCCTTAGCGTCAATTTTCAGCTTTCCGGGATGTCCATATGCTTCTATGGACGCTCATGGAAGCACGGCGTTCGTTTGTGTCGGCTGCCCTTAAAGGCAATGTGAGCGTCCATTCTCATTGGATAACGGAGAATTGTACACCCGGAAGTAAGTATTCCCCTTACTGTCGATTGATTTTACAGTGATATCTGCACTACTCATCGACTAAAAAACACCAGATTATCCTTGTTAATTACACAACATTGATTGGTTTAAATTGTGTGCAATGCTTTTGTATTTTTCCCCTTCGATTCGGAGAAACAAATATTTTTTCGGAGTAAAGGATGGCAGAAGACACTACACTACCCAGAATCCCCAGCTATCGTTTGGACTACACCATGTGCTCTGTTTGACAAACCCCGTGATAGTCCTCAAGCTCTGTGATTGGAGAGTGTGCTCCGAGGGTTACGCCGAGCCTCGAACGGCATACTGTCCAAAACTGGATTTGAACGGGACCACCGCGTCCCCCCCCCTCCCCCACCCCGTCCCTAGAACTACACATGCTGGCTATTCTGTTTCGCAACATGTTCTCTATCTATGGCACGTCTCTACTGGGAGTTGTAGTTTTAAAAGACGTTTTCGTATTTCCCATAATAAGAAGTTGCCAGTATTGAACTGTGTACATCCCTGGAGGTTTAGGGGATAGGAAACACTCACATTTAAAACATATAATTAATAAATGGGTGAAAATTGCTTGTTAATGGGCAGCATTAATATATATATACACACATACCAGCTAAGGTCAGAAGAGCTTTATTTAACAGCTGGTCTTATGTCTGTGACCCCTGTTGTTAATTGATAACATTACATTACATTAATTGATAAGCCTGAAACATGCACTTGTCAAGGTTCAGAGGCACATTTTGCAAATATGGCAGTAGCCATCGATCAGCTTAAGATAAGATATACTTTATTGATCCCAAGTTGGAACATTTGCGTTACATCAGCATGTGTAACAGTTGTATGCAGTGGTGTTTATTTGTAAATCATTTAGTATAATCACACAAATTCTGTGTTTTATATTCAACAATTCTGTGTTCTTTATTTATTGATTGTTCAATACCTGACAAGGCCGGAGATGAAATATCTACATACATCTTATAAGAGTATAATACATTATGTATAATATCAGTTAAAATAAGTGCTTCAACATAGTTAACATTGCTGGAGGTATGCACAAATATTGATAGATGTCTTGTAATGCACTATTGAGGAACCTGCGACCCAAGTTTTTCATTCAATGCATAACTACACCATAGTTGTGTAGGCCTATATGATATGTCAATAAACCTTAGAAAATCTTGAAATCTTGAAAGGGATGTGCAAAATAGTCATTATATACAGTCTTTAATGAACTATTAGTAGAGAATAACGAGTATTAATATACTTTATAGGGATCCTATTAATATCTAATAATACAAATAATGAAATTCAATAACATGCTTTAACCACTAGGTGTCCCTTTATATCAGCTGTGCACCTTTATGGTGTAAATACAGCCTATCTACAAATTGGATCAAATATAAAAGTCAGCCGAATTAGTGTTGATACTGCAAGGAGACGTATTGTGTGAAAAGAAATGTAAGATGTTGTTTAATGGCTGATATATTTATGATCCACGTCACGTTTTCAGTTCCTCATGTTTGTCTAGAAGTCTTCTCATCAGGGCTCTATAAATACAGAACTACGGCAGATATGTCATATTTAATGCAGCCGAACCGTGTATTACAATGCCGGTATGTGATGACTTTCAAAGAGAAAAGCAAGCACACTCGGAATAAAGTATTATTATTATTATTTTAAATGTTTTCGGTCTGTTTCCGGTATTTGTTAGTAGGCTTGTTTGAGACGCGTTGCGGCTCGCCTCGAAAGTAGACGAGAATCGCCGATCGCAGCCGGGGGAGGTCTCAAAAAGCTCGCCTGAAGTCGGACAGCTCGGAGTCCATGCTCGGAGTCGGCTTCGTCTTCTTCTTCTTCTCTCGGTTTTTTGGCGGATTGCAAACAACTTTAAGGTGCATACCGCCAC